CACATTTTCATAAAGAACTACCCATGCACCAGAATACACCTCTTAAAGTACTACCCATGAATCTCAACTACTACCTGTGTACCGCAACATCTTTTCAAAGTACTGCACATGTACCTCAACACACTTTCTCAAACTACTTGGATAGCCAAGTACATCAACACTTTTTCCTAAAGTACTTCTCATGTATGTTAGCACATTTTCTCAAAGCACTGCACACTTTCTCAAAGTACTGCCCATTGTACCTCAACACACTTTCTCAAAGTACTACCCATGTACCTCAACACACTTTCTCAAAGTGCTACCCATTGTACCTCAACACACTTTCTCAAAGTTCCATCAATTATACCTCAACACACTTTCTCAATGTATTACTCATTGTACCTCAACACACTTCTCGAAGTATAATAAATGTACATCAATACTTCTTTCTAAAGTATTACCCATGTACCTCAAAAGAGTTTATTAAAGTACTACCCATGTACCTCAACCCACTTTCTCAAAGTACTACCCGTGTACTTCAACACACGTTCTCAAAGTGCTACTTATTGTACCTCAACGCACTTTCTCAAAGTACTACCAATGCACCTCAACACACTTTCTCAAAGCACTATAAATTATACCTCAACACACTTTCTCAAAGTACTACCCATTGTACCTCAACACACTTTCTCAAAGTACTACCCATGTACCTCAGATAATTTCTCAAAGTGCTGCCCATGTACATCAACACTTTTTCCTAAAGTACTACCCATGTATGTTAGCATACTTTCTCAAAGCACTGCACACGTTTTCAAAGTACTACCCATTGTACCTCAACACACTTTCTCAAAGTGCTACCCATTGTACCTCAACACATTTTCTCAAAGTCTTACCCATGCACCTCAGCACACTTTCTCTAAGTACTATCAATTATACCTCAAAACACCTTTTCAAAGTAGTTCCCATTGTACCTCAACACACTTTCTCAAAGTACTACCCATTGTACCTCAACACACTTTCTTAAAGTACTACCGATTGTACCTCGACACACTTTCTCAAAGTACTACCCATGTATCTCAACGCTTCTTCTCAAAGTACTACCCATTGTACCTCAACACACTTTCTCAATGTACTAACAACTGTACCTAAACAAACTTTCTCAAAGTACTACCCATGTACCTTAACACACTTTCTCAAAGTATTACCCATGTACCTCAACACACTTTCTCAAAGTAATACCGATGTACCTCAACACACTTTATCAAAGTACTGCCCATTGTACATCGACACACTTTCTCAATGTACTAACCATTGTACTTAAACACACTTTCTCAAAGTACTACCCATGTACCTCAACACACTTTATCAAAGTACTACCCATGTACCTCAACAAACTTTCTCAAAGTATTACCCATGTACCTCAACACACTTTATCAAAGTATTACCCATGTACCTCAACACACTTTTTCAAAGTACTACCCATGTACCTCAACACACTTTATCAAAGTACTACCCATGATGATACGGTGCTTGTTCAGGAAGACTGTTCAGACTCTGGATTTATGCTCCGTTGGGTTGTCTGCATGGACTGCTGATTTGGTGGTGTTCCACAGCTTTTGGCAACAGCTGGAGACAAATAAATGTAAAGTGATACTAGCAGAATCAGCAGAAATAGGTATATGGTTGTTCAAATAGGTACATGGATGATCGGACAAGGAAATGGATTATCGGGACTTTCGCAATGAATCGCAAAGCGGACTAGACTATTGACAGTCCCGAGAAGGTAGAACGATATGTGGTCTCAGTTTTTTTGTCTGAGTCTAACTTTGTATTCTCTTGAGTCGGGTTCAAAGATTCACTTTTAATCACATGTGACAATCTCATTGAATTGTGTCTGGTCACTTTTGAATTGTTTAGCGATTTTAACACGAATGTTGTTTAGATAAGCCGTCAAAAAATGCTGTAACCGTATCTGACAAATCCTACTGAGCTCAAATGGTTCTTTAGTAGAGTAGAAAAGCTGTCGAATTTTACCCTTGATAATCTAAATATTTTCTATTGTGTACCGACCATCTTCACAGCAGACACTTCCCGCTCATCAATTGCAGACAACGGTCTTCCACGAGTGGGTTATTTCTTAAAAATTTCTAGGATATGACAGAGTTGTTTTTAGTGAAAGAATAGCCTTAGAGAGTAATGATTTTGTGAAATGCTTTTTTATACAAAAACAAAATTATCTTTCGTTATCCGGTAATGTTACATCGAAGTTATTTACTTAAGTTACATCATACGAATATATCTGCAGGTACGTTGCGGACATGTTAATATTTCAATAGAACATTATTTTCTTTATTACGTTAATCACAGATTCATAGAAACAAATGGTTTTAATAAATTAGTTAGAACGTTTGAGTACTCCTCTTATATTGTTTGTAGATCACTAGCACCTCTTTCTGAAAAGGTCTATAATTGCAAGAGAATTTCATAAACAAACGAATTTAGATCATGAACAGCAATATGTTTAAAAGGAGGTTTCAGTTCTGACCACTGTCATGAGAACTATTTCAAAATAAATTTCAAACACATCTGTAAATATTTTCACTAAAATTACATACTTACAATTTTCAGTCTGGATTTCTGTCTAATCACCCAATTTCATTTTCATATAATTTGCAGCGCAAAATTTCGATACGAAATTTCATACATCGTTTTCTGCAATATCTCTAAAGCCTTCGACAGGGTATCGCATGGGGATTGCTAATTTTTATAAAAATTTAATAATAATGGGATTGAATGGGAGAGGTAATGGCGTGGATCGAGGATTACATCATTAATATAACCCAGAGATTTATCGTCTGTAATGAATTGCCGAACTTAGGATAATCAACCGCAGGGGTTCCCCAGGAATCCGACTTAGGTCAGTTCATATTTCTTGTGTTTATTAATGGCACAGCTGATTGTCTAAATCTTTAGTCCAGTATTTGCAAATCATTGTTAATTACAATATAGATCACCATATCCCATCATTCACCCTAAACCCAGAGTTGATCTCGTTTACTAACTGCGAAATGATAATGTTTACTTGGTCTTAATTTGTTGCGGCAAAAAATAAATTTGTTTATCTTGTCGTTTTAGAATTGCCTAATAATCCGATGGATTTTGAGCTAAATTTAGACCAATCTGCGTCACTGTAAAGTTTAAGTATACCTTATTTAAAGAAAATATAAGCAAAATGTAATTCGACATATTCGCCTAAATCTGAAATATGAATCTGAAATCAAGTATTCTTAAAATTATTAGGTTACTTTCGGGTCTACCGAAAAAGGGATAGGAACACTCCATTCTAAAGTAGGATTGTGTATCTTTCAGAAGAAAGAAACATAAACCTTTTTAAAACAAATTGTGTATAAATTCATAAATAAAGCATATAATGGACTTGTTCTTACACTTTATAGACATGATAGTGGGATCTCTAAATTGAGAAATTGGTGCAACTTTCTTGACATTCAACGTCGTGTATGTATCTTGACAAATTCTTTCCTACCTCTCCTTGCACAAACTGTCCCTCTATCAGAATATCTAGAACAAATATCACGACTCTAGGTCTTAAACCTATCTAGTATAAAGAAGCGCAATCAACAAATTTAGTAAAATCAACAAATAAAATGTTTCACAATATTACAAAGTAAAACTTTAAGATACATTACATTTATGTGAACTGAATGACAAAGAATCTTATCACAAGTACTAAATAATAAAATTAATGAATTGCAATATTATTGGATATCCTGATGTACCATAATAATACATTCCATCATGCATTTGAATGAGTTCTAAATAATCCCAACTTTTTGGTTTAGTCCAAATTATCAATGACCACTTTGTAATTCTAATGAATTATTTAAATAAATAATTCTTCTCAAATTACCCCTGAATACAACTGCAGACTCATTATCATGGGCTACCAAATACTGATATGAAACAGTAATGAATAATCGTTTACCAAATTTCTTTATATACAGACTTCTTTTGACCTACGATGTGACACCTTTCCAACAGAAATAAACCCCCAGGTTAACTGTAAACAATACCGACCTTGATATAAACCTTTGATAAACATATGTTTTACTGCTTATAATCATGACACAAATCAGGTAGGTAAAACCCACCCATAACAACCCTTAATCATCTATACAAATCACGCATCTCTCTCTTTCTCTTTCTCTCTCTCTCTATCTTTCTCTCTCTCTTATATAAGTTAGCGTTGCTGTATACAACTCCTACATGCATGCTTGAAGTGGAAATTTATAACAGAAAGAAGCTTGTATGCTAACGCTTTACAAAAGGTCTTTGCTTTAGTTTGTATTTTTCGCTCTAGTTAATATATCTTTCATTAAATAGGAACTCCATATAAAATCCAATAGAAGTATTAAATAAGATCAAAAGGAAGAATCACCATTTAGTAGTACCAAATAACAACATTACGGTGTACCATATAACCTTAAATAGAAATAACATATAACATTAGATAGAGATATCACATTACATCAAATATAAACACTACGTAACATTCAAGAGAGTGTACAGCGCAATATAAAATCGGGATACCATATTATAAAATATTAAATCATATATACCAAATAACAATAAATAGTAGTAACAGATGATGTTAAATAGGGGTACCAAATGACATCAAATAGGAATACAATATAACCTCTCAAAGGATACAATATAACATCATTTAGGAGTATAACAGGAGTGCCATATAATAGAGTCATAAGCCCTTAATTTGTAATTTGCTCTTTGTTTAGTAGCTAAATTGTTTCCATTTCAAGTACGTTGCCCAATCGTAATACATTAGGAGAACTGATACCGTCCGGGAAGATTAAAACGTTATCTGTAAACCTTGTCGTCATTTAGATGGATCTCATCTTGATTGCTGAGGAGCAAGCTCTCTACAAACATAGAGGATTCGCGAAATCAGTAGAAACAGGTACTTACTGCTGACGATGCCCAGCACCGCTCCGGTGGCCTAGTGGTTACAGCGACTACCTTGGATGCAGGAGGTCGCTGGTTCGAATCCCGGCTGAGTAATATCAAAAGCTTATAAAATTATTACTAGCAGCTGTCTCACTTTTCGCTCATCATTAAGAGGTTCGTGTTAGTACTGGTAGACATGGTGTCAAGATAATTTGACTATGTGGAACATGATTCTGCATATCGGCGGCATGATGACGTCTAGAAAATCGTTATAAACTACGACTGAAAAATTGTTAAAGCTACGTTAAAAATCCAAATTGCACACACAAACACACACACTCAACACATACAAACTCTCATGGATCGTCTAACTCGCATATCGACCCTCTTTTCTTCCTGTCAGCGTTCAATTTATCTCGTATTAACCCGCATAGTACCACTAGACATTTCCGGCGTACAATATCCATCTTGATATCTCAGTTTTAAAGAGATGTCTCTTCACTCGTTCCAATGCCTTTGACCCCAAAAGGCAGCTCCCACTTATAGACACATTGGAAGTAACGGGATCTAGGTCATAAAGTGCCGAACGTGTAGTGAGACGTGATCCTTGACACTCTTTTCTTATTACTTTCCAGGTAACGCAAGAAACATCAGCTTCGCTACTTCAATACAAAACTGCCTCAAGGTACATTGTTGCTATCAGATCTTACTATGATGAGTAAAATTCAGCCTTACGGGATTGGGCTAAAGAATTTTCCAGATCAATCCTATCGGAGTTCTGTCCTCGTTCCTCTGCATTAACTGCCTGATCGACAGTTCCGACATCAGATGATCATTGACAACGGGAGATTCTATGTTCAATTGTTCCCACAGTCTGACAAATTTACTGACATTTTGGGCTGCTAACAGCTGCGTCAATTGCAATTCCCAAGCGCCTATAGACGTTTTCTCTAGCTGATGCTTTTCCCCAAAATTTGTCGGCGGTTCTGAAAGTGTCACATACTTGTTTTCCATTTGGATAACCATCAGTAGATTCGTAACGTTCCGACCGTGGTATCAAAACTGCATCTAAACTCTATGGCGATCTGTCAATACGGTAATAAATCTTTCCTTCACCTACACCGAATCTCACTGGTGGTAACATAAACATTGTCAATACAGAGGTCCAACATACATTGACCATGGCAACAGGTGGAATGAGATCCAATACTCTTTTCTTCCATCATTCTTAAAAGCTACCATTGTCCAAGCTACCCTCGCAACCTTAATTATCTAATCTCATCTTTCATGATCAGGCTGGTGAAATTCTCAACAAGCCACGAAATATACATTATTTCCATCCCTTAATGCCAGCTACAGCGAAGGCAGGGCAACCAACAAAAGATAGTAGGAACGTATTTAGGCGCATGCCGCTGGGAAGCAGTTATACCGAGTTCACAACCGTCGATAACTACAAGTCCCTCAAACTAAAACATAATAGAATAAAAGGAGTTCAATCGTGTTTGCAAGATTCTACACGAGACTCACACTATCAAAATGGCATACTTTTACACCCCATAGAACCCGGTAGGATAAGGTTCCAGCCTTTCTTTGCCAGATGTGGGACGACATATGAATTTAATTAGTATAACAGTAGATTCTTTGCTAATACTTAGCAATACATATGCTAGAGAATTAGTTCACATTCTGGTGTTTACTCAATGCGTCAGCGGCCGTCTTAGCTTAGGTTCTCTTATTGGGTTCCCATCACAATTATTCTATAGTCCAAATGGAGGTCGAAACTTTGACGTGTTTTCAACTATACGATGTACAAATTATTAGATGACATCTCGTAGACAAAGAAAAACAATGGACTCATGTCGGTGATACCTCTGCAAGTAGAGCCTACGGCAGTCGCGACTGGTACGGATACAAGCAAAAAGGAGGATTAGAATTAGCAAGTCTTCTACCAATTTGGGACTATGGCCCCAACCTCGTTATTTACACAATTCATTCTCGAAATGAAAATTGTTTTGAAAGCTTTTCGTTGGTGGCTGGAGAATATAATTCTTATTCTCTCGTAAACCCCACTGTGATGATTTATATCAAGCAGCAAGGCGCAACCAAGGCCGATCATTGTATTCGTTTTGGGTATTGTTTAAACTGGTGTTTTCCATGACAAATCAACGCCATGTTGGCGGTCTCATTGTTTCGCAAGAACGAACGAATATACAAACTGAATGATCTCTTCTGCCCTCGTGCTTCTCTCGATAGATGCTCGATGGGATCTATTGGTGACAAGGTTGAATGCCAAAATCACAACCTTCGTCTCAACAGTCCCGGATTCAAAACGCCTGGATAGTGCTCTTTCTATAGATTGGAACAGCCCAATATAAAGACTCTAACACCTTTACTTTCTGAAAGAAGGAAAGTAATCGGATTGTCTACTCATCGATTACTCCATTTAATTAGGGAAATCTAGATCCACATCATCAGTTTCGCAACAGGATCTCCAACAATCAAGATATTTTCTTCTTTACTTAAAGCAATTACGACAGCAAGTATTTCATCCCAGCCATGCAGGGATGGATCTATTTTGAATACGCCCTTAGGAACAAACAGTTCTCACAATAAGTGGTGGAGAATTCCTCATGTGAGGTGTTCCACCCACCTTAAATGTATACGAAGGCATATATTCTCAGTGGTACATACAAGAACATTTTATGCCACTCCATTCATACATACATTAATAACGAACTTTCTTTGCTTCTTCGACAAGAAACAGCGCCTATCATATTTAAAAATCTACTGTTTGATGATCACAATGATTTGTCATGGAAAAGAGGATGTTTGACAAACCAAAGTCCTACCCAATTATCTGCTCGCTTTAAAATTCCATTGATCGTGGACCCTAACCTGCCTAAACAAGACACCATTTGAACTGGACCCTAACCTGTCTAAACAAGACACTATTTGAACTGTTTTTTTAACAGATTTATTGTTACGCCTCTCATATTAGGGACCACGAGGCAGAATCAGCGAGTACATGTTCTTTTGGTGGACCCATTTACTTGCAGTTCAGACAAGAATCATTCATTACTAGAGACCACGAGGCAGAATCAGCGAGTACATGTTCTATTCCTGGACCCATTTACTTGCAGTTCAGACAAGAATCATTCATTACTAGAGACCACGAGGTAGAATCAGCGAGTACATATTCTATTGGTGGACAAATTTACTTGCAGTTCAGACAAGAATCATTCATTACTAGAGACCACGAGGTAGAATCAGCGAGTACATATTCTATTGGTGGACAAATTTACTTGCAGTTCAGACAAGAATCATTCATTACTAGAGACTACGAGGCAGAATCAGCGAGTACATGTTCTATTGGTGGACCCATTTACTTGCAGTTCAGACAAGAATCATTCATTACTAGAGACCATGAGGCAGAATCAGCGAGTACATGTTCTATTAGTGGACCCATTTACTTGCAGTTCAGACAAGAATCATTCATTACTAGAGACTACGAGGCAGAATCAACGGGTACATGTTCTTTTGGTGGACCCATTTACTTGCAGTTCAGACAAGAATCATTCATTACTAGAGACCACGAGGCAGAACCAACGGGTACATGTTCTTTTGGTGGACCCATTTACTTGCAGGTCAGACAAGAATCATTCATTACACAATCTGTTCTCTTTGTCAAGAAGAGATTACAGTTAATGAGTAATCTGACTTTGGTAATAATTCCTGTCTGTTCTTGACGCTCTATTTCAAGGTCGTTTACATGACCCAGCTCAGAAGAAATACTTAAGGAAGAACTTGCTGTTGAGGCCATGCATCCATGGAGATCTTTCTTCTTTTCTTCATAAGAGATAAAAGACGACATATGAATAAAATGCTTTCGATAAAGAGGACCTTTGTCCCGCAATTCGGAAATAAACTTAAATAAACTAAATTTATTCTCATCTCGGCTAAAGAAGTAACGACAGTTGGGTATAAGAGAAGCTGTTCTTTGTTATTATCCATGCCCTGAGATAGAGAGTACACGTCTTCAGTCAATAAAGTAAATACCTTGGAGATATTTTATCCTAAAAGACTAAATTGATTTGGTGGGACTTCTACTATTGGTGCAAAAGGTTACTTTTCCTGATCTTTTTACAACTTCATAAGGACTAGGTTTTGCGGGATGAAAACTTGTTCCATTTTGATGTCGCTCCTAGACATATGTAACCCATTTTCCAGTGCGGTTATCTTGAAGCTGTCTCACATAATGCAGATCTTCCTCCACCTTCTACCTATTCTCCTGATGTACATGACCCGGTAACGCATTTGGAGAAGAAACCAATATTCCCTAATAAATATATTTCTTCGATAATACTTATCCAATCACAATATACATGCACCATCCCAGGGTCTCATCAGTTACGTCTATATAGACACCGTTCCTTAATATCTAGTAGTAGCTGGTGTTATTACGGGATTTGGCGCCAATCCTGGTATCAAAATAAATCATTGTAACTGGCACCTATGATGGCAGAAAGCTTTTAGCTTGATAGTTAAAATATTTTATCTGGAAGGGCTGGATTTACGAGGTATTAGTAGTTCTATGGCATTATGATGGGCAACGTATTAATGAAAGAAAACATAGTTTACTAGAAAAGAATTGGTTCTCTCCGATGACTCGCTACCATTTGTCTACTGTACATCATAGGACTTAATTTGTAAAAGTCGGTGTGCTGTTCGTGCAAATAGAAATCATTTTATAGAACGTTAGTTTATGTAATGGTCTGTATATAATTTAATAACTGTAAAATTCCTCTCGTAGAACTTGTAAACCATTGTCACTTCTTTTAAGTAGGCAATGAACCTAAGTAAATGTCACACACAATGTAATCTAATTAAGATAGAGATGAGCTATATATTTTTTTTTAAGAAAGTGTTTACATCATTTCCGTCAAACAGCAGACCTTCTTCATTTCTGATCCCTGTCTAGGAATACTATTTCATAAACATATTTATTACTATTTTTATGAAAATAATGTCTTTATTATTTCAGTTGGTTTTATGCTTGGTCACTCAGTCTCATTTTAACTGTTAGATATCTACAACACTGTAATATATGCATCAT